AATTCTTGCCTTTCCTGCCCGCGCTTTGAAACCATAGATGTAGATTTTGCGTGATTATAGATAACTTGTTAGCTTGGCACTAAGCTATCAGTTTTATGAGCTCCACGTGAAAAGTGTTTTCTATCTATCGCGTGATCTATCGTCTATCACGTGACTGTACGTTTGTGCGTAAAAGTCTCTACGTTAAACAAGCGCGACCAATTGCATTGCAGGCACAATAATTTATATATAGAAGTTGACGGAGAAGGTAGTATGCACAGTGATCTTATGGTGTGAAAGGTTAATGATTGAGTGTATGATTCCATCTCTGCAGTTTGCAGAGAAAACAGAACGGACTAAGTCAATGCTTTCTTTTCTTGCGATCAATGGGTTAAATGGTGACATGCACCCGTGAATCATACTACCTGCCGATCAATTAAACTCGTGTATTTTCCATTGGAACATAAGAGTCTCAAGAATAAATTATCCCCGTCAGCAGCTTAGGAAATGTTTTAAAAAAAGTATGGAGAATAGGTATACTGATGTAACGGTGCAAAAGGTTAATGACTGATTGGATGCAATCTGCAGAGGAAACAGAAAGTATCAGTTCAACGCTTTCTTTTCATGCGATCATTGGGGTAAATTGCGACCATGACTCGTGCAAAAAAACCACGTTCAGAAGTTATAATACAATGATTTGAACTTGTGTTGAGCGAGACTAAAAAGGCTGACATTGATCAACTCAATTTCGCTCAGATTCTTTTGCGAAAAAAAACACCTTCCAATCATCCACGCTTTTTAACTATGAGTGGCTGGAAACAGTTTTTCTACGCTTTGGTCGACCTTATTCAATGCGCTCAAGACCAAATTTAACCCTTTGAAGTCACATGTGATGGTCAGCGGCGCCGAACATGGCGGCCACGAGTTTCAGAGCTTTGATTTTAGTGTTTTATTCCTTACTTATTTGTTCTGAAATTTCTTTCTACTTGGGATCCAATCGATTGCCACCATCATGGGCCTTGCCAAGAAGCTCTCAAGGTTTTTCCTGGCGCATATTTTAGTCATTACGGCCGATTTGCTGTCACTGGACGACCTTCAATTGTTTTTGTCACGAAGCGCTTTGGATTTCATCGCGCCAAGATTCCCTCGGTATCTTGGAAAAAGCACGGATGTACATCTCTGCGGTCACGACCCGTCTCTAAACATCTCTCTGGTCACGACCCGTCTCTAAACATCACAATTTTTGGAGACATTGCGATTAATCCTGGTCCGGAGACTTTAATTCAAAACAATTTGAAGAGGCGAAATGAAAATCTACCGAATATCTTGGATTTGCATATAAATACTCGAGTTATAACATACACCCATGCTGAACTACTTGGCATTCGTCGCGCGTCTCGCAGTTTTGTTTGTGGATCAGTTCTCCATGTTTTAAAGCTAAATGGACTTCTGAGGTTTAGAGGATGTCGAGCTGGCCGACGGAAGATATCTGTACGTATTTCTGATCGAATAAGTCATACTACTTGCCGTGATAGAACCACTTCTCGCACTTCTGTTTTGGTTCCTATAGTTCCTGAACAACGTTTTCGTAGTGGAAGCTATTTAAAATTCTGTAGTTTGAATGCCAGGTCTGTGAGAAACAAATCGGCGGACTTGGTTTCCTATGTTGAATCATCTGGAGCTGATATTTTCGCAGTAACTGAGACATGGCTCTCAGAAATTGATGATGCGTGCAGAGCTGAAATTACCCCACCTGGGTACAAGCTGTTTGATCACACACGATCTGATCGATGTGGTGGTGGAACTGCTCTATTGATAAGAGAAAATCTACATGCAAGTCGTGTAGATGCTGGTGAGCGTACTTCTTTTGAGTTTTCTCATTGGATGGTCGAGTTCCAATCGCGAAAACTTCAGATTGTTATTATTTACCGTCCACCCTACTCTAGTAACCATCCTGTCACGACGAATGCATTTTTTGCTGATTTTTCGAGTTTTTTGGAGAATATCATAATGTCATCTGTACCGTTACTGATAGCAGGTGATTTTAATATCCATGTAGACGTTCCGGGGAATGCAGACAGTGTTTGTTTAAAGGAGCTGCTTGAGTCAATGGGCCTTCAACAACATGTTAACGTGCCAACACACGAGTCAGGACACACCCTGGATTTGATCATTACTCGACAATGCGACTCCTTATTAGCTAACATTCCTGTGACTGACTGTCTGTTTTCTGATCACTCTACTTTGATTTGTGATCTAACCCTGGACAGGCCACCACTCCCAAAGAAAAAAATCTCTTTCAGGAAGACAAAGGTGGTTGACGTTAACCTGTTATGCCATGAACTCTCTACAACTTCGCTTTGTACAGACAGCCCTGATGCTCTGAATGATCTTGTTAAATGTTATAATTCTACATTATCTGCGGCTCTTGATCGTCATGCTCCACTTGTCACTAAGTTTATCACAGTGAGGTCTTTGGTAACTTGGTTTAGTGAAGATATTAGGGATTCAAGGAGGGAAAGACAGAGAGCTGAAAGAAAATGGCGTCGATCTCGAAGTGTCAATGATTTGCTTGAATTTAAAAAGAAGAGGAACTTTACAACCTACTTGATGAATGAAGCCCGTCGTAAGTTTTACTCAGACTTTATTGCTGAAAATAACTCCAATCAAAGGAACCTATTCTCGGCAACAAAGAGGTTGCTAAACCAAGGTCATGAAGTACCTTTTCCACCAACTAGTGACAAGCTGGTTTTAGCCAATGAAATGGGTAGCTTCTTTGTTGAAAAGATTGACGCCATCCATGTCAAACTGGACAGACTAGCCGATTGTTTGCATGATTCTCATTTTGACTATGTGAAAACGCTACCAACTAGAACACTGGACAGCTTTATCCCTTTAACTGAAAGTGCTGTTAGTAAGTTGATTGACTGCTCTCCGAAGAAAAGCTGTATGTTTGATCCGATGTCAACATCTATGGTAATCAGCTGTGCTGATGTGCTATTACCAGTCATTACTAAAATGATCAACCTGTCTCTTAATTCTGGAGAATTTGCGGATGATTGGAAATGTGGGCTTATTAATCCTATCTTGAAGAAACCTGGATTGGATTTGCTGTACAAAAATTACAGACCAGTTAGTAACTTACAATACGTATCCAAGTTGACTGAAAAAGTCGTTTTTAATCAAGTTTACGATCACATGGTTTCAAATGCTATTTTTCCTACGCTTCAATCTTCTTACAGGCAATTCCATAGCACTGAAACTGCACTTATCAAGATGATGAACGATGTTTTGTTAAAGATGAACTCTCAATATGTCACTATGCTAATTTTATTGGATCTCAGTGCTGCCTTTGACACTGTTGATCATCGAATACTTTTAGAGAGGCTATCTGACGAGGTTGGCATACGTGGGACTGCTCTGAATTGGTTTAGATCGTACTTGTCTGATAGACGTCAGCACGTTTCTGTACATGGAGTTCTTTCTCGTCCTTTTAACTTGAACTGCGGGGTACCCCAAGGCTCATGTTCAGGGCCTTTGCTATTCATAATAGATGCGTCCAAGCTGTTTAAGATCGTGGAACATTATCTTCCTGATGCTCACTGTTTCGCTGATGATACGCAGCTGTATCTGAGTTTTAAACCACTCGGCAACACTGCCCAAGCTGATGCTATACAAGCTATGGAAAAGTGCATTGACGCGGTGAGGAAATGGATGATTCAAGATCGGTTGATGATCAATGATGATAAAACGGAGTTTTTGTTAGTCGGCACACGACAACAGCTTGATAAATTAGATTCGTGTTCCATAACTGTGGGCAATAATCGTATCAGTCCAAGCCCATGTGTTAGAAATCTTGGATCCTGGTTTGACAGCAACTTAAGCATGACTGATCATATAAACAAGGCTTGTAATGCGGCATTTTATCATTTACATAACTTGAGACGTATTAAGAAATACCTGTCGAGAGATTCTTTAATTACTTTGGCTCATGCTTTTATAACCAGCCGTCTTGACTATTGTAATGGTTTATTGTTTGGCTTACCAAATGTGCAGATCGCCAAATTACAGCGTGTACAAAATGCAGCAGCAAGACTTATTCTTGGCTTTGGAAAGTTTTCTCACATTACACCGGCGCTTTATGAGCTGCACTGGCTGCCAGTTTCTTTGCGTATTGACTATAAGATTTTACTTTTGACTTTCAAATGTATTTATGGCCTAGCGCCAACTTATCTTAGCGATCTTATTAGTATAAAATCGAATTCATTATATAATCTTAGGTCTACTGGTAAGCTCTTATTGGACCATCCCAAGCACAGGCGGCCCAAGCTCCAGCTGTAAGATGATCATCTTGTGCAATAACAGTCATGGCGGAATTATAAGAGTTTGTATGGGAATATTTACTGATTTTATTCCTTTGGGCTTTTCTTATGAACGTTGAAAACGTCGAAATGGACAACTCGCTAAAATGCGTCCTTTTCATCAAAGTAAGCGGTCAGATAACAAGCGTTACGCTGTAGAAGTAAGGTGAGGTTTTTTTTTGAGAATTTGACATATTATTTTATTCCTTAGGGCGGCCGTAAATATTCCCATGCAAACTCTTATAATTCCGCCATGACTGTTATTGCGCAAGATGATCATCTCACAGCTGGAGCTTGGGCCGCCTGTGTCCCAAGGGAAAGATGCTTACAACATTGGGAGCAAGATCATTCTTAGCAGCAGCTCCGAAACTCTGGAATGAGCTACCTGTGGAGCTTCGTCAAGCAACATCACTTAACAGTTTTAAATCTCGACTTAAAACCTATCTTTTTAAGAAGTACTTTTTATAGTTTGTAACTTAGTTTATTTTATTCTCACGGTAATGTATTTTCGTTTTCTTTTAAACATATGATTGTAAAGCGCTATTGATCAACACATGTAAATACGCGCTATATAAATTGGTCAATTATTATTATTATTATTATTATGTGTTTCGAAATAGTGGGGGTTTCACGACAATCGTTTT